AAAAAAAAAACGAAGTGCAGCTCATGTTCGCAAATGTTCAGCATCTTTTTGTTACATGCCACACCCACAGCCTCAGAAGTTTACATAATACAATACAATGTAGTTTTAATCGATACAACCTATCGCGTATCTGTGTCAGTGTATCAGATGTATGTGTATAATATATCTATATTTATATATATATATTCATTCATCTTTATATCTTCCTGTATTTATAGCGGCGGCCTCATGACCGCGTTACTCCGTGATATTATTAATAATAATAATAATCGTTCGTAGTAATACCGCTTATTACTTAACCTTAGTATTGCTCTCGCAACACGGGTTCTTTCAACGTGGTACCGTCTTAAAATATACATATACATGTATTATATTTATATTATATCATATATATTAATTTAGAATTGTGCAATGAAGGTTTAGAGCCATTAGTGCGACTACTGCTGCGGATGTGGTCGGACAAGTCGCTTTACCGTCTCTATTATACATCGATAACGTGGTGGGGTGCGGAGTGCGAATTATTTTTTTTATATTTCTTTTTTTTTCTTCAAATTTCTGTATACTCTCGTTCCTTGATAAGACCGCCTTAAGCAGATACTCGGTGATGCAAACTTCCGTTTCCAAGAAGCTTATATTCAAGAGGTTCCCGTGTCTCAGCCATTAATACCTCTATACCCTTCTTGTCCTCAGTCTTCCGTTTCCCTTCAATGTACATCCATCGTGTCTTCCAACAACACAGCATCATTCTCAGTGCAGTAACGACCTAATCGAAAGAAGTAAAGGAAAAAAAAAAAAAAGAAAAAAATAGAACCAAGAATCCTATCATCCATTCTTCTTATCCTCAATGCCCTATATATCTAATCTTCCATCGATCATCCAGCAAAAAATCGGCAAGATAATTTCTACTATTTCCCTCGTTTCTGCCTCTCCGCTTCAGACACTGTCAGTCCTCGGTCCACCATTTCGAACGATCGCCCCTCCGCGGTAATCGAGACCGGTGAGAGATCGCCGTCTACGCGTACAGCAGTCTCGGGGAAAGGATGGCAGCCTCCTGGACGGCGGCTGAACCACGGACACCCTGTTATACCCAGGAATCGCCGGCTGAGGCAGCAGTGGAATTCGGCGGTACGTTCACGGTCGCGGTGGCGGCCAAACCATCGGGGACACCAACGCCATCGGCTACCCACTGGCCAGCCGTTGGTGCACCGGCTGCGACGCCCACTCCCGAGCCGACGACCGGGCCCTGACCCTGCGCCTGGCCCACCCCCAGCTCATACTGCCGCTTCTTTTTCTTCTCCAAGTTAACTTGCGCGTAGAGCGGCTCACCGGGTTTCGGTTGCTGCAACACACACACAAGCCAACGGTTAGTTTAGAGCCCTGGCTCGTAGGGTAGCCGGAGGTGGATCGGTCGAGGGTGGGCCGTCACGTCGCTCGGGGAAATCGGGCCTGGTGAATTTTTTTTTTTTTTTTTTTTTTTTTCTCTCATAGTTCATATTACTTTCTTGCTTCGTTCTTTTTTGTTATCAGTGATTC